GCTCTCTGTCCGCGTCATGTTGTGTGTTAAAATTCTCGAGCTAAAGACTTGGCGTATTTCTTGCTGGGTTCTTTATCGTGTAATTCTGCGTTTAAAAGCTCAACGCCATCATTTGATTCATGATAATTTTCTTGAACCTGGAAGTTTGTGCCGAGTTTCGTGGCACTTTAAGGTCATGACGTTGGGTACAAATCCTGTGTTTTACTCGCGAATGTTGTATGGATTTTTCTCTTCGCCACCGCGTCAAGAACGGCAGTAAAGCGGCCGCAGCGTGAAGCTGACGACGACTCTGCTGCATCTAGCGCCGAGGTTAAGAATTTGTGGAATATTGATGGTGGGGGTGGAAAAACCGAAAGAAATAAAAATTTGAAGGAGATGGATGAAGGAGGGAACAATGAATATTTTTCCCTCGTTCCTGGCTTTGTAACATGGCGCCAACAATACTTGGTGTGGTTCACGTGTGAAGTGAAGTCGTTCACGTGACCTGACAAACTCATTACCACTTGAACTACGGCGTTATTTGTAATCGCCTGTGCCAGTAGGCTCTGTTTCTCTCGTGTTGAGTTACTTTACAGAGTTGCGTCTACAAATGTTAACGGGTAAGTAGCTTTATTAACAGGTGTTATTAAAAAGGGAGTCTTCTGTTGCAAATAACTGGAAGCTTTTATACATTTACGTGATCTTTAGTCACATTATGACGAAGTTTTAAGATACAACTGTTTGGAAGAAAGTCTGCCACGCATCTCCGAGGCCTGAGTAATGTAAAATGAATGAACTTCTAGTTGATATGACATCACGGCAGACAGAAGAATTCTGGGGTAAAAGTTTCCCAAGCCACAAAGCAGATTAAAACAGACATCTGTTCCTCAGCGTTGCAAGAACTTTGCCTGTTCACCGTGTCAACAGAACACGAAAATGGAAAGAAGAAAACTTCCTGCATTTGACAGACTGAAAACGCGGAAAATGAAATCCAGGTTCTGATGTGCAATTTATTTAGTGCGTATTTTGTATAAAGCAGGGGTACCAACTTCTTAGGTCGGCAGGCCATGTTGAAAGATATAATGAGTTAATATGGCCGGAGTATTCAAACGTCTGTATAAAAACTGAACATTAAAATAAAAGCATCCTAACGTTACCGTATTTTGTGAAATTCTGGCATGTCTTTTTCTTCGGAAGGGAATTACCAGTTGGTTCCACAGTTGAAATGCCAATTGGGATCACATCTTATAAAAACAGGACTGGCGTACTGTACCAAGAATCATATTTATGTCTGGCAAAAACTGACGGGAACGAATGCAAATCACTCGTGTCATCAATGCACCTTGGAAAAAGTCTTCCATCTGGCACAGTCGGCACGAGACTACTACATCAGACACCCAGCTCTCTAATGAACACAGCATAACTCGTTGATGTGCGCAGAATGATACCTTTGAAATCTGAATCAAAGTCGAGCTAGCGCTTGTTCTGGCGGAAAATTTGAAGATTAGTGTCAACACTAAGCACCGCAATTCTGTTGAACAATCTATTAGGGAACTCCCCCTCCTCAAACAAAACTAGAGTAATTATTAGTGTTTGCCGTTTGTTAATTTTAGTCACACTCCACTTAGAGGCAGCTGGTCGCTAACTTACTAATTAAAGGTTATAGTTGCGTATTTGTATTAGTAGTAGATAAAGATAAAAAAACCTGAAGATGATGCTATTCATTGAAACATGTAGTAGTATAAAGCGCAATACTGTAACATCGTAATAACGATGAATAGCGCAAAATATCAATATTAATTTTAAATTTTAACATCAACAATTTAAAGTTTGTGTATAGACTTGAATTATATTATATATTTGAATTACTAATTAAAGCATTGAGGTGTCTTAGTCACTTGTTTAGCGACTATTTTTGACACCGCAGACCTACAAAATAATGAACAAGCCAGAGCTCAACATATCAAATTGATTCAAGTCAAGAAATTAAGCAAAAATATTGATACCAAATTGCGGGTCCTCGGGTGTTCGCCTAGATTTGCTGTACCTTCGGAGCAGCCGTAGTTCCAAACGGGCAACATGAAGGGGTACCCTGGGCCGCATGTGACCCGCGGGCCACAGGTTGGATGCCGCTGTTATAACTTGTAGAACATTCTATATTGAGTATCGTCTTCTTTATCATATAAACAAGTTCAGGATTTTAAATGCACAAGTTTTGTTCGTGCAAATGAACCACGAAAGTAAGAGGGTTATTTTTCGTTTTTGAAGGTGTTAGCCGAGCTAACACGGTTAACGAACGTCATGAACGCTGCTTCTCAACTTCCTGCTGCTGTGTGTCTGTCTGCTTTGTGAATGTCGTGCAAAGAACATAACTTAGTAATCAGATACAGCCAAAGTCACGAACTGTCGTCTCGCCAGCTCGCTGCTGGAACGGCAGAGCTCGTAAAACGCCCGCCTCGCCTCCAAAGTACGGAAGATGGCACTGCGGTCGGAGTGTTATTGTTCAGCTTGAGGATTTTATTTGTGTGTGTTATCATTTCTCTGCGGTCCTACTCACGTTTAAATCCGTGGGTAACCATTTCTTGGAGTTTTAGAACATGCAGTGTTTTAAGTTTATTATTCTTTTAGAATGTTGGCATATTCCATGTTCTACGAAGAATACCATCTGAACTGCTTAATATCTAGTAGGGGAAAACTTGGGAACCACATAAAACTAACTGCGGAACTAATGGCGGACTTTTGTAGTGTCGGCGATGACAGTACGAATTATTTCATTAACCGAATTATTAATTGCTTATAATCTGCACCGTGAAATTGCAGGTAGTAGTCACTCACGTTGTCTTCTGGGTTGTTGCGCCGTGTAGTGTAGTGAAGTAAATTGCAGATGTCCGGAAATATTTGTTGTTCACACCAGAGCTAAAATTGGTTGAACATGGAAGGGCTGTAGAATCCAAATAGTTACCTCCTAGGCCGTCTCAAAAAGATGGCCAATTCGGCGCGACGAGTAGTTCTACTACTTAATTATGTTAAATGTATGCTAAGAACTACTTCGCCCTGTTGCAAATGCCCCTTCAAATCGTTAGTTGAATTTGAATGTTTTGTAAAGCAGGAACAAACCAGATTTCATGAAAACTATGATTCGAATCAATTCGGATTGTGATTCTGGATTGTGGGTGGTGGCTACAACCCTCGTCTCGATTTCAGCGTGATAGCGGAGGGTGGAGGCGGGTTGATGTATTGTACACAGACACAGGGCACTTTGCCAGCTGCAAAGGTGATTCGGAAATCGTGTGGAGCGGTAAGAATCATCGCACTTCGGGAACTGGCACAGAAACCATGATTGTCCGAGATGAAGTGCTTGCCGATTCCATCCGTGGTCTTCGCTATGCTGCAGCCCGTGTTGGTCATGATGGATCGTTTATTGCAGGTGCAAGCCTCAGTTCGGGCTGCAAATCACCATGATAGGTTGTGCCATAGAAATGAAATTCTCTGAGACATGCTGCCTGTCTGCCAGACTTAGTTTCAACTCTCTCTCCCAACCCGTTCTTTTAGTTTTAATTTGGTTCTGTTCAGTGTTCCTCTTGTTACGGGAATTGCGTCAACTAAAACGATTCTAAGGTAAAGCGAACACAAATATGAAAATATCGTTTGGAGAATTTATTGTGTAAAATGTATATTTCAGTAAGTAAGAATACACGCTTACCTGGATTTAAATCATAACGAACCTTGTGGTCCCATAACAATTTTTGGATTGGCTGAATATCCGTCAGCGGCTCAAAAAAGGCGCGTTTACTCGCATGTGTTCCTTGCACGACGTGAAAGTGGAATGATTTGACCATGTGTGTCTGACCGCCCGTCTACCCTCATTACTCAACTCGAGAACCGCTGGACGGATATGGATGATATCTAATTTGGCCACTTTGATGTTCTGGTCTACCTTGAAGTCGTGCTAATAAGCTGCAAGTGTTGCAATCCAAGTGTCTTCGCACTGCGACTGACGCGCCAATTTCTGACTTTCGCTGGAATTGTTTAACGACGTTGAACACGTCGGCTGGCCGCAGGGGAAACAGTCTGGCCGTAACCTGTAATTGGAGCGGGACAGACCTACATCCTCCATCACAAACGCTTTTTTAACTTCCTTAAATATGTAAGAAGATGTCAAAGGCAAATGCCAGGGTATAATTCAAAAGGGGGCACGTTTCGCCATCCCCAATCACGAAGGTCTTCAGCTGAAGTTATTTGTCCCTTCCCCTAAGTTGCAGACGCATTCAGCCGAAGCGATCTAACCCACTCTGGGTTCAACCCCCAGAGAACCAACCAAAATCCTTTGCACAAAGGACAAGTTGCCTGACGGGATAACCTCTCATCAGCAGCAACAGACCCCAGTTTGAATGGTCGAGGCTCCCGGTACGACAAAACCCCCGTTAGCGTAAGCAAAATCTCATTTTAGTTATAAGACTCTGTTTACTATTTCCAGCAATGCGTTTCGTACGCAGGAATGTTGTTACTTAGCAAAGGACAGCTGACGATCGACGGACAGTCTTGAACGAGTATACATCTTTTTGGGACACACTGTATTTACCTGGAGACGGAAGTTTCCGAAACATTGTAGTTTTATTATTTTGTAATTTAGACGATGGACAGAGTCCAATAGCAATTTGTAAGAACCCTCATCGAATGTGTGTATTCCGATACCAATTAAACTTTTCCAGTCGTGTTGTATATAAGTTGGCTGGCAGTAATTCGTCGTGAAACAGTTGCTGCTCGCCTTGCAGTGTGGCATGCAAGCCTCCCTTTCTTCTTTTCCCATTCTTCATTTTACGGATTTATGTTACAAGGCTTTGTGTTCATCGTGATTTCAGAAGGTTAGAAAGAAAGACTTCGCGTTCACTTGTTCGTTAATCCGCCTGCCGCACCTTCACCAAGGGGCGCTGCGAGTGATCGATTGTAGAGGAAGAAAGACTGTTGGCTGCGTGCCAGCAGCTCGCTCGGCTGCTGCTGGCTTGTGTCCGGGAACACGACCGACCGGGCAGACGAGTGTGTAGCTTCAGTCAGTACCTTGTGGGCCATCACGCCGTTCGCTATGTAGTCCGTACCTACCTCGGTTTATGTTGTTGATGGTTGTTTTATCCAGAGGGCCGTGTGATATTCCGATTTTGGTGTCGAGTGATCGTTGATTTATACCGGGCATTTGAAACTTCAGATAACGTGAGGTTTCTGGTGCTGTGATGACTTCGCTTCCTCAAATTTTCACCTCCTCCTATATTGGTCTAGTGAGAGGTAACTGTTCATAATTCCATAAGCTTTGCGGCTTCATTCAGTTCGACCCAACTTTTTTGATTTCTGGTGTTATGTGTCCACAATCATGCCCCTTGTACCTTCTAGTTGTTAAGAGTCTAGTAGTGTCGGTAATTTGTGTGACGTCAGAATATCTATTTTCCTGGTTAGTAATATCATTAGAACAGATTTGGGGAGTTTTGTGAACTGGTCCATGGAATAAGTCAGGGCGGGTTTGGAACCGCAACTCCGTCTAAATCCAAACATCGTGACGTGCCTTCATCGTCGTTAATGTCAGTTTTGTATAGAAATTTATC